GGCCGCCCGCGGGGCCGCCCGCCCCGTCCCGCCACCGACCTCCCTGCAGCGTCGCGGCCGCCCGCTTCATTCCCCCCGTTTCCTCCAACTTTTCCCCCCTTTCTCTCCAAGCAAATTCCAAAGCCAACGCTCTCCCGTCTCCCCAGATGCCGGAGCGGCGCGGGAGGCGTCGAAGCGGCCCCGTGGCCTCGAGGTCCCATGGGAGCGAGCGCGGCGCGGCGGCTACTTACTGTCTTCTTCTCCTTGCCCGCGGGTGAGTAGCACAGTCGCTGCTATCAACAGCAGTAACCGAGAATCCACAAAGCTGAACATGTCTAAATATTAGACATGTAGACTCTTTGGGCCTCTTTGTTTCAGAGTCGGGTCATACAGGGCTGCTCTTGACTGTGTAGCTCCAAGCCGGACCCCAGCAGCAACTTCCTACTGTTTTTCCCCCTGCCCCGCTCGCCTTTTTATGCTGCGGCGGCGGCGAGAGGTGGGACCCGCGGCACCCGCGGCCCCGGCGCACGGCGGCTTTTGGACGGCCCCTCGGCCAATCAGCGGCGCCCGGCGCGCCCGCACACGCGTGCACACGCATGCACACGCATGCACACGCGTGCACGCGGAGCCCTGAGCGGGGCGGCCGGCACTGGCCCGTTGATGCRGCCGGCGCCGCGTGCCGCGGTGCAGGGGCGCGCGGTGGGGTGGCCGCGGGGATGGGGTTGGGGGTGTCCTGTGGGGTGGCCCCCAAGGGCTTCCCCAGCATGGCCAGGGGGTCGGGGTGCAGCCAGGTACAACAGGGCCCTCCCCGCGCTCAACACCTGCAGGGGACGTGGGGACACAGCGGGGCGGCCACCCCGGCGATGCCACCCGSACCCCGGGACAAGGTCGCACAAGCAAAACCCAGGGCAAGCCAGAGCACAGGACCCTGCGGCAGAGCCCGGGCACTGYGGGGACACGGGGGCCACCAGCCATGCTGCCAAACGTGGCAAGGGCCAACTTGCTTGGGGTGGGCTCGCCGGGCATGAGCTCCCTTTTCTTTTTACTTTATTTTCATTTTTTTCCCTTTCCTTTCATTCTCTCTTTCTCTTGTTCTCTCTTTCTTCTCTTTTCTTCTCTTTTCTATTTTTTCTTCTCTTTCCTTCTTTCCTTCTTTCTTTCTTTCTTTCTTTCTTTCTTTCTTTCTTTCTTTCTTTCTTTCTTTCTTTCTTTCTTTCTTTCTTTCTTTCTTTCTTTCTTTCTTTCTTTCTTTCTTTCTTTCTTTCTTTCTTTCTTTCTTTCTTTCTTTCTTTCTTTCTTTCTTTCTTTCTTTCTTTCTTTCTTTCTTTCTTTCTTTCTTTCTTTCTTTCTTTCCCTGCTCCCTCCATCTCCGCTTTCCCTCCCCGTGCTCTTCCTCCCCTCTGGCACGCCTCCACGGCTCTTTCCACATTTGAGGAGCCACGTTGGTTGGAAAAAGAAAAAGCTCGCTGACAATAATCCACAATATACTGTGCAATTTGGGGAGGGTGTAATTACACACCAAAAAGGAGTAATATAAATATATATATCTATATTTTTCTCTATATGTATTTTAGCAGGGCTGTGGCACACGCTGGGATCAAGGAGGGGGACAGAAGCCCCAGGGTGCGGGAAGTCGCCGCGTGTCCCCCAGGTGATGTGGCACTTTGTGGGGGGACGCACTCCGTTTTAAGGTTTTTTTAGGGAAAATGCAGTGTTGAACAGCCCCTTTGCAGGGGCCTGGAGAGCAGCCGAGGGGTCTGGGCTGTGTCCCCTGGGGGTCCCTGTGGCCGTATCCTGCTAWAGGTGCCCTGGGCACCGCCGGGACTCGGGGTCCCCTCCGGGGTCTGTGCAGCAGCTCGTGGGCCCAGGCGTCCGGGATGGGAGTCCCAAGGCAGCACAGGGAGCTGCTGTTTTACCCGAGGGGGTCCTGCCCGGCTGCCCCCTTGTCCCAGCCACCCCACCAGGGCAGAGCACTTGCAAACTCATCAGCCTGCCGGCTCACGGAGGCGCCACCGCCTTGCGGGGCAGCAAACGGCCCGCACGCCCCCCRCTTTGCATCCAAGCAGGAGCACCCAAGTTTGGGGGGGTTTTACAGGGATGTAGGGCAAGAAAAGAAGAAACCAAACGATGCAACGACGGGGTGGAGGGGGAGAGACACGTCGAAGGCGAGAGTGAGAAACTGGCTCCGCCAGTGACCTCTCCAGGTCTTTTTTTCCAAGCCGCTATTAAATGCAAAGCAAAAAAAAAAAAAAAAAAAAAAAGGGGGGGGAAAAAAAGCCCCAACCGAAGGAGTTATCTGTGCATTGCACAGACAGAGGCGCGCGCCCGTGCGCGCACACGCACACGGAGCAGCTGGCCGCCTTTCAAGCCTGTATCTATGCATCCGAGACACGTTGCAGGCGAGGGCTCCTCCAATCCTGCCTCYGCGACTCGAAAACCCCTGGCCGCGCTCCAGCTTGAAGATGTGTCTTTAATTTTTGCAGCATGACAGAAAAGAAAAGAATGTCATCGTTTTTTATATGCATGGAGCGCGGGAGGGAGCAGGGGGGCCAATGCCACCTCATCAGCCCCGGCCGCCCGCCCCAGGAATGCAGGAGGGTTTGGTGCAGGGGATGGGGGCTGGGGGGGGGCAGGAGGACGAGGGAGGGGAAAGAGAAAGGGAAGAAATCCTGCTTAAAAAAAAAAAAAAAAGTAATAATAATAATAATAAAAGCCTGGAAAAGCCATCAGGATCCTAGGAAGCGAAACGGGAGACGCCAGCCCCAGGGCCTGGGCCTGTCCCGGCTGCGGTTGGGGGTGGGATGGGGGGTCCCGCCCTGCCCGGTGCGGGGATGGGGACAGGGACAGCAGAGCATTGGAGTCCCCTGTGCCCACTGGGGCTGCCCTCTTCTCCCCCCACCCCATCCCGGTCTCCCCACTGGGTTCACTGGTGCCAACGGGACTGGGCAGGAGGAGGACGTGGTCCCAAAGGGTCAGTGGCCACCGGCGGGGAGCGGGACGGGGGGCGAGCGGATTGAGATCCCCATCCGTGTCCCCGTCGCCGTCCCGCTCCCCATCCCCGTCCCGGCACGGGGGGGGCCGGGGGAGGCGGCGGGGGCTGCTGTGCCGGAGCTGGAGCCGCCGCCGGCATCTGGAGCGCGTTACCTCTCCCGGCACATGGAGCGCATTAACTCCCGCCGCCCGGCCCGGCCCGGCCCGGCTCGGCTCGGCCCGGCCCGCCCGGGGCCGCCCGCTCCTCCTGGCCCTGCTTCCAGCCCCGCCGCGCCTCCCGGCTCCGGGGCAGGTGGCACTTGGGGGGGGGGCACAAATTATGCCCCCAATCCCGTGCCCAAAAAAAAAGCATCCTGTTCCCAGCATCGCAGCCGGGACCGGCTCCACCAGCACCCCCCACAGAGGGTCCCCGGACGCCTGGGCCCCGCGGGGGGGGCAGCGCCTGCCTCAGTTTCCCCCGGGGCCCCCCCGGGCGGCGGTGGCCGCGGCCGCAGCCCGGCACCGCCCCGGCTATTCCTGGTGGCCGCTGCGAACCCGTAATCACGGGCGGGCGGCTAATTGCAGCAGCGCCGGGCTTTAATTGGCCTCGTCGCTGCCAGGGCTCCCGCGTCGGGCCCTGCACAAGTGCGGGGGAGGCTCGGGAGGCTCCGGAAGCGGAGGCTGCGCTCACGTCCCAGGGGAGAGCCCCGGGTCCCCCCCAACACCCTTCCCATGGCTTTGTCCCTCTCTCTGCATCCCCTGGGCTCTGGGTGATGCTGGGGTGGGTTTGGGGGCTCTTAGAAGTTTAGTCTCCCTCTGGGAGGTGGACTGGGCTTGGGGATGGCCTCATCTCCCAGCACACGTTAGCCCTGGGGGTGCAGTGCCAGGCTGGGGGGGTAGGAGAGCCCCCAGCCCACATCTTTCCAGGATGCACCCCCAGGGACCACGGGCACCCATCCACACCCTGCGACCCCCCGAGCAGCACTGAGCTTAGAGACAGAGAGGCCCCAAAGCAGGGGGGTCACACCCTCCCCCTGCCCCAGGAGGGGTTTTTGGGGTGCTCTGAGGCTGGCAGCCTCCAGGAAGGGGCATTTCGCAGCTGGGGTCCTGGGGAGCTGCCCTTGGGGTGGGGAGGGCAGCCCAGCCGGGGCCCCCGCGCCACCTCGCAGCTCGCAGAGCCATGGAAACTCTGAGGGCTGAGGTACACGCCGCACATTTTCCATTGCCAGTTTTCTTCTCTCTCTCTCTCTCTTTTTTTTTTTTTTTTTTTTTATTATTATTTTTTTTCCTTTTCGATTTCATTGAAGACTTCGCAGCNTTTTTTTTTTTTTTATTATTATTATTCTTTTTCCTTTTCGATTTCATTGAAGACTTCGCAGCTCCAGCTGCCGTCGGCTGGGGCCCCACGCGTCCCCCCCTCCCCGGCAGCAATGCAGGGGATGCGGGGGGTATCTGCACCCCCCAGGCTCTATCTGCCTCCCTGCATCTTCCCCAGTCCCCAGGGGCCTCGCCGGGTCCCTTTGGAGCAGGTCCCTGTCCCCAAGGTCCCCCCTCATCCTGAGGGGGGGGTCTCCCAGCTCCAGCTGGCCCCCAAGCCCATAGCAAACAGGTTTGGGGCTGGGGGCTCTGCTCTGGAGATCCCATCATGGGATGGCTGCTCCAAAGCCGGGATGGGGACGTGGGGAGGGAGCACCCTATGCACATCCCCCCGCCTCCAGCTCCCGGGATAGGATGGGGGGGATGCAACACCCCGCTCAGGAGGGCCGGGGGCTGTGGGGGGAGCCGGGGGGGCCGCGTCCCGAGCCTGGCCGGGCTCCTCTCCCCGCTGAGCTCATTGCAGGCGGGACGCGCTCGCTCCTCGCCGCCGCCGCCGCCGCCGTGGGAAGAGGCCCCAGCGCCACGTGGACGGGCGTGGGGGCCGCCCGCCTCGCACCCTCCTCCTCCTCCTCCCCCAGCCGCCGGCCGTGGAGAGGGCCCAGGCGTCCGGCGTGGAGGGAGGCGCTGCCCACACCCCGAACCCCGCTCCTCCCGCCCGGGGAAGATGCCCAGGGAYGAGGCGGGACCCTCCGGACCCTCATTCTGCTTTGCTGGCTTGGGGGGAGGTCTGCGGGGTCCCCCCTCGCTGCTGGCAGCCAAGMGGGTGCCCAGGGCAGAGCCTGGCACATCCAGCACCGTGTCCAGCACCAGCCRGGCCTCCCGCTGCCCCGGGGGCTCTGGGGGTGTCTTGCTTTGGGAAGAAGGTGCAAGGAGGGGAGAATTGGGTGGGGGGGGTCAGAGAATTCAGCAGATCCTGGCAGATGGAGCAACAGGGTCTCGGAGACGCAAAATCCATCGCCGAGCCCGTGGCAGGTGGCAGCAGGGCACAGACACCCTCTTCTGCAGAGGTCCCGTGAAGGCCGGTTGGGGTGGGGTGAAGATGCCCCATGGGGGTTGTTTGCRTTGAGGTTGGGTTGAAACTTCAGGGATGG